CCAATTTGAAGTATTTTTTTCATTCATTATATATATATATATATATATATACCCTAGCAGCACAGGCCCTCATTGAACCTGTGTTTATGAATTTTGACTCAATAAGGGTAAAAAAAAGGCTGATATTTTTCCTATTTTGACTCTCCATAGAATTTCTAGATTAACGTAATATTTTATATATATTATTAAGCACTTTTTTATAATAAAAAAGTGCTTAATATATATATATATTTTAGTGCTTAAAAGGTGCTTATTTTTTATTGAAAAATTTGGCTATGCATTCTGTAAAATTAATTTGAAATCGAACTGAAATGAATATTTTTTTAAAAAAAAGTTTTAAATAAATGTTAAAACGATTTCAGGAACAAGAGGACAGACTGCGACAGCTACGGATAGAAGAGGTTCAAAGAAAGCGAGAACTAGAGGTTGCTAAGAATGCAGAAGAGAGGTTGTTACGAGAGGCTAAACGACGACAGGTCAGTATTTTTCAGATATATTGAATGAGTGTTTCGAGAATATTTTTGTAGATTTTAATTTAATATGTGTAATCTTCTATGTTTAAAATAATTCTTCTAACTTTTCTGCTATTGTATTGGTAAACTTGTGCTTTTTGGCACGAAACCCTTTTAACTTAATGAAGATGCCTTTATTATACAAATATATATATATTTCAAAACTCCTAAATAATAGCTTCAATCATTATTTTTGCTTATAGCTGTAAAATGAATTTAATCATCATCCCATATTTAAAAAAATCAATCGTGAAATTTAGCTAAGATATTTGTTTTTATATAAAAAATGTTTTGTTTTAATGTTGACAAATTTGCATTTATATATATATATTCTGCAGAAAATTTTAGCAATAATATTCGTTCAACGCCAAAGTTTCATGTGGAAGAGGATGCATAAATTTCTTCAAATTAAGTGTTTTTTTTATTTTATTACTTTTCCAAAAGAGTTGCATCAGACTTGATTTTTGTACCATTTGATTAGTTTTTCAAGATTCCTAGTACTGCCTATATTTAAAGCTATTAAGCTCTTCCTTTTAAAATGAAGCCCAAAATATACCAATTCTCTTCTTGGAGGTTAAAGTTATTAGCCAATTTGAAGTATTTTTTTCATTCATTGTAGTCTAAGATTAGTGTTTTAAATTCATTTTAGTATTTATTTCTCATAATGAAAAACTGTAACATATAATGTATTTTTTAGGATGAATTCAAAGCACCAATGAACCTTCCGCATCAAAATCGTTCTCAGCCTGTCATGAGTCCACAAATGATTAATAATCAGCAGCCAATCACCAACAACCATCCAGTTACAAACTATCCCATGGAGAAAGCTAAGCGCAATGACATTTCAAATCAGCAAGACGTTCCACCCCCTCTTCCTACCTCTCCTCCCCCAATTGAACCCAGTTATCAAACTGTTTATAGTCAAAAGCCGGCATCAATGCGCAATCAGCGTTTGAATGACAACCCTCAAGCCAATTATGAGAAGCAACATGAACCACCAGCTCCACCCACAAGAAAATCATCCTATGAAGTAACCAATCAGATGTCTGCCATGAGTGGGAACAACCGATATACTCCCTCATCCATGAGGAACTGTGATAGCAATGGCCCACACCATCCCAAGAAAGTATCTTTTCACGATTCTCCCGTAGAGAATGCAGAGTGCGACACAAATGGCAATCTCAATTCTCTCGGTTCCAACAACTCACAGTCTTACACACTGGACGATATTAACGAAGTGCTCGCAACCCCTCATAATAGTCAAAACCTGAACACTTATGCTCCGGGCAGCACGCCAGGTGTTATTGGTAGTCAGGAGGTGTACAGGGATCCTAGACAACGGATTGAAGCCGAGAGGACGCAGCAAGAGCGGGGTGTGGGCAGGAATCCTGGACCTGAAAAACTCACCTTCAAAGAAAAAATGAAAATGTTTGCACAAGAGGTGGGTGAGCAGGAAACGCCTAAAGATAAAGTAAAAATATCTCGAGCTCAAAGAGACATTGAAGTGAACCTTAATGGAAGTAATGTGAGTTGAAAGAATTGTGGTTATCATTTGTTGCTCATACAGGTCTACTTATTCATTTATGTTGAAATCCTTCATTAGCGTGTCCATGAGTAGTCTACTTACAGTCAGAAAATTTAACAGCTTTTGATAAGCATCCTTCATAATACAGCATCCTTTAAATTTTTATGATTATAAAAAGAAAACTTAATGTTTTGACTCAAAAATTTTAAAAATAAATTATAAAATTTTTTATGTTTTATTTTTTATAAAATATAAAAGTGAATATAAATTTATAAAATATAAAAGTAAATATAAATTTTATATAAAAGTGAAATTTTTATTTATTTATTTTTTTTGATCCAGAATCTAGTTTTTTTTTTTAAAAAATAATAAAACTAACTGAATTATGCTTAGTTGAAAGTGTAATTTCTAAACGTAATTTTTTTTAAATATTTTTAAACACTGATGTTAAAAAAAACTTTATTAACTGCAAAAGTAACATTTCTTTTTAATAGATTTAAATAAAAAAAAAATTTTCAATTATTACTGTCAATATCTAAATGCATTTTGAAGTAATAAGTTTTTTTTTCTTTTTTTTTTGTGAGTATTTGATTACTTTGGGACACTGCTATATGCATACCATTACTGTAAGAAGGTATATCTCGAATAATGTCATTGTGTATACTAAAGCTTTCATTTGCTTTCTTTCCTAAAATGTGACGAATTTCAGGAATTTGTAATTTGTGTCTTTATAAGGAGCAACTTGTATAATTCTTTTTTTTATAGATTATATAGCATTTGTAAAGTGTCTTGAAGATTTTTTAAATATTTATATAGTTTTTATATATAAAAGTGCAGAGAGTCTTGATGATTGTTTCACAAGATTTATTGTTCAGCAATATTATTATTAGTACTGTAGGGTCTGTGAACTGATGAACCTTAATCCATTTAAAATAATCAAATTAATATTTAAATGCTATGTCAAGTATTAAAGAATTTTTTAACCTTGAAATGCCTTTCTAACTTGATTAGATACTATTTTTAAGCATTTCATATGAAATGCAAAACAAAAGTATTAACATTTTTTTTAAAAAAAAAATGATATAAATACAGATCTGTAACATTTTAAGTGAAAAGCAATGTGAATCTTGTCAATTTCCAGGCTCTAATTAGTATGAGGTTCTAAAAAAAATAGAACAGTATTAATCTACACAAAAACAGAACCCTGAGTAGTCAAATTTTGATTTTGAATCAAATAGTTTTTTAATTTGACTTGAAATCTTATCTATTTGATTTTAAATGTTCCTTTTGCTTATTTTGGATTTATTGATGTTAATGTCTGTCCCTTAGTCTAAAAAAAGAAAAGTGAGCATTTTTATTTGTATAAACAAATTAAAATTCAAGTTATATATTTTTTGTACATTTTATTAGTTTGAAGTATATATGTACAATTAAAAAAATGTTTGTTATTCTTTTTTAAAAAATTGTATTATTATTGACTGTTTGGCTATTCCACTTTTATTAGACCAAACTGAAGGTTTTTATACTTTTTTTCTTCCTCTTAATGCAATAATTTACTCTATTTTAAATTATTTATTTTCACTGAGATGAAAAAATAATAAAATATTTGTTTTTTCATTTAACAAAGTGCCTTTGTACCTTTTTATTTTGATTTAAAAAATTATTTATTTTTTTCTAATGTTTTTGTTATTAAACTATTTAGTTCCGAAAATTTTACATTAAGTTCAATTTTTCTTGAGCTGATTATTTTTATCACTGTGAATCATTCCGAATTTGTATAAATTTTTTAACATATTAAATGCTACATTTTAAGTAAAAATTGAACCTTTTTTTTGTGTGATTTTATTCATAAACTATTGAATAATTTTACAACTTTTAACATTCGTTTTACATTTTATTGATATCGAAACAAAAATTTATTTATTTTTTAACAGAATTACATTTAGTTAGCTGCTTTTATCAAATTAAAATATTACTGTTTAATATACAATGAGCTTTTCATGTTTTAACATTGAATAATTAGGTATATTTTTAATGCTTGATGTTTTATTCTGTTAGCAGTTGTATAATGTGATAAATTTAAAAAAAAGAATCATTGGAAATATTGTAGAACCTCAATTATGGGAAGTAGATTCAATTAGAAACATCTTAAATGCTTAACATATGAAAAAATTTTATGGTATATTTTAAATTATTAAACTTCAAACAATTGTTATAAAATTAGCCAAATGCTATGAATGAATACTAGAAACTTGAAACTATTTTTATTTATAAAAATAGCATTTTATTGTCTAATATTATTTACATAAATGAAAAGAGCTTTTGAAAAACAACCTTAATTGTGAAGTTTTTAAAGCTTTTTCTGCAGTAATGATTTATAGTTGTATTCCTACTTAGATGTCCTTTATGTACCGCTGGATGAAAACCTTTGAATTAAGACTGTGTTGCAGATATTTTAATTTAAAAGTATTTCGATAATGTAATTTTGTGTATTGAATTCCTTTTTTGATTGTGTGATTTATAATCTATTTCTGGAATAATCACATATTCACTAAAAAATTCATTTCTAGTTTTTTTTTATTTTATTTTTATAAAGCTAACTTAAATACTGAATTCAACTTGAAAATTCTTCTTTTTAAATTCTCCTTTAATTTCTTGAATCATGTTAAATAAAATATTCTTAAAGTTTTTTTTTTCTAAAATTCTATCAAGAAAAGTTAATATCTTACTTATTTTTGTCAGCTTTGTAAATTTTTCCTCTACTGCAAGGATAGTTAAAATATCAAGTATATTAATTTCTGTTAAATGTTTAATAATTTACACAATAAAATGATGGTGTATAAATAACGTAAATATTAAATTGTTAAAAATTTTGTCATGGATATAGGTTTTGATAATTTGTAAAACATTCAGGCATTTGACAAGCAGTAACTAACAACATATTTTTATTCCTGATTATTATTAATTTATTAAAAAAAAATAAACTTATTTGTGATGTTTAATTTAGCTTGTTTATTATGCTGAGTTAAATTAATTTTCTTTAAACTATAATTGGGGTTCCACTTATTTCTTGCGATTTGCTCACACTTGCCTTAAATAATTTATTGCATTTACTTGCCTCGACTACCATCCATTTAGAGTAGTTGGAATATAACTTAGCTATGCTATATATCATATACACATGTTAAAATGTAGATGAAAATTTTTACAATAATTTGAATTATTTTGCAAGCAGAATAAATTCTGTAAGAGTAAAATTTTTATCATTCTATAGAGTGCAGCTTCTTTTTTTTTACATATCAGTGTTTATATAAAATGTATAGTGCCTTTAAACTGTTTTATTAGCTGTTCATCTTTTATGCTTAGAATCCGTCCTTATAGAATGCAGCTGTTTACTTTTAATGTTTGAAAAATATAATTGTAATTCTAATATCTTTACAAGGATTGCTGGTCAGTTACAATTATTAATTATTTTGATTATGGATTAGTAAGTTAATGTTCACCACACGAGTATATATATGTTCATGGTAGATTTTATATCATGTCGTTATTTGTAGCTGTAATATAATAAATGTGTACATTTTAATGATTTTGTTTCCTTTGCTTATTTTATTCTTGTGTAATTAAAAAAAAGGATATATTAGTGTGAGAAGTCCAATACACGAATGGGACTTCTGAAAAGAGCTCAGCTAGGACAATTTTCTCCCTAAAACGAATTTAATGATTTTGTTTCCTTACTTATTTTATTCTTGTGTAATTAAAAACAAAGGGTATATTAGTGTGAGAAGTCCAACACATGAATGGGACTTCTGAAAAGAGCTCAGCTGGGACAATTTTCTCCCTAAAACGAATTTAATGATTTTGTTTCCTTATTTTATTCTTGTGTAATTAAAAACGAAGGATATATTAGTGTGAGAAGTCCAACACATGAATGGAACTTCTGAAAAGAGCTCAGCTAGGACAATTTTCTCCCTAAAACGAATTTAATACATAACTAAAGCATTAAAGCATCCTTATTAAATGTAAAGCTTTAAATAATTTTAAAAATTTTAATTAGCTTAAAAAATTAGGGAAAATAATGTTTTTTTTTTTTTTCAGAACACCTGGAAAATTGTTTAAGAACCGGGAAAATTGAAATTTTTAAAACTTTTTTACTTACTTTAAGAATTGAAAAATAGAAATTTATAGTTTTTTACTTTTTTTTAAAAATTTTTTTAATTTTCTATCTAAGTATTGAGTTTTTATATGAAGTCATTTGCTTCAATTGTTGAATAAATTTTTTTAAGATGCAGTTATTAATTTAATCGGATTTTGATTTTTTTTTAAAAAAGAGACTAATAGTAAAAGTTTTTAATATTTTTTTCTTTTGCATTTGTCGGTGGTTAATGATGAACAATTCTGTTTGAAATTCTATAAAATGTTACAATATATTGCAACCCAAAAGTTTATTTCTTGGTTTAGATGTGGGTTTATTGTAAGAATCTGTCATAGTGTTTTAGTTAATAAATTACTGAAATTATAAATTCTGGAGAAGAAATTCTCGTATATTTAAGGAATGTATCTCGCTTTCTGTAAATAAAATTTTTTGAAGGTTCAATCAATCAGTTAGGTTAGTTTTATTATAAATAAAAATCTTTGAAGGTTCAGTCAACCTGCTTAGGTAACGCATAAACTAAAAATGAATAACTTGAAAAGTAATCACAAATAATTGTAAAACAAATTTAGATAATTGTGAATTCGTTTGTAACTGCCATCTATAAAATATCTACTTTTTTAAATGTTAAAATTTTACATATTGATGTTTAGTAAGCACCACTNGTCAACCTGTTAAGGTAACGCATAAACAAAAAATGAATAACTTGAAAAGTAATCACAAATAATTGTAAAACAAATTTAGATAATTGTGAATTCGTTTGTAACTGCCATCTATAAAATATCTACTTTTTTAAATGTTAAAATTTTACATATTGATGTTTAGTAAGCACCACTTCGAGTAATAAAGGTTGATATGAAGTGAATCTACTGATTATGGCTCACCTGCATTCATATTTCAAAAACACAAAAGCGATATCTTCCAAAACAATGTACTACAATATATGTTAAATGCACTGAGATACATGATCAACGAAAATATACACAAAAGCAAGATGCCAGCACTACACTTTACAGTACAATATCTGGTATTTTAACTGGTTCAATGAATGTTTAGGCACTCTGTCATTAC